CTCTCAAGTATTGGAATTAACGTCATGTTCCTCCACCAGCCTGCTAAAAATTATTTCTTTTAAACGTTAAAATAATAGTTTTATTGAACTACCCCTGGGGTCAGGGAATGGAGGGGAGGAGGGGAGGTTCTCAGCTGGGTGACTTGAAGCTGCCCTTTGACTCCAGCCCCCCCACCTCCCTGCGAACACCTGCCCAGATCCCTCCTTTCTCTGCACCCTCCTCCACACCACCCTCCAATTTGTCTCCACAGCTGCCAAGGCCCTTTTGCATTCCTGTCACTTCATTTACTGCCAGTACTTTCCCTTCCCCTCCTGCTTCTTGTTTCCTCACATGCCCCTCCCACTCTTAATCCCCTGAAGGATTAAGTCATTGTCTCTGCACACAGCTACTGTCCCCTGACAAGGTGCCCAGACGCTAATCAGGTTTTCTGCCCTTGAGGTGCAGATAACTCTGTGTGTACCTTGAAGGCGGGGCACACTAAAAGGACCACCCCCATTTGCTGGACACTTCCCCGCACCACTTCCCATCTGAAGATACTCCACCCTTCCTTTTGGAAAAAGAGCTTCTAGTTCTACAGAGGCCTCATAACACATGACCCCAATAGTTATATGTCTTTCAGCTGACAGCAAAACCTTTCCAATGAGTGACCACACTTCTTTGATCAGCCAGGGAAGTGTGTTACAGAACCTGCTAGGCTCACTTAGTCTTCAGTCAGTCAAGCCTTTCTCCCTCCTCACCCATGCATGAATTTTTCAAGCCATGTTCTCCTCCCTTTCCATCTTTTCCCTCTCCATTTACTTTTTTCTTAAGCTTTCTGGCTAGCTCTGTACCCTTCCTTTTTTTGACAGGGAAGATCCCCTCCCTGCTCAGAACTCACTCCTTGCACCTCACCCCCTGGGGAGGAGGCAGGACACTCCTCAATTTCCCAGGAACAGCTAGTTCTAAGGCCAACAGTAGGGCCTCCTGTCCCTAAAGGTTCCTGTGGCAAGCAAACCCCTCCCTTCCCTTCCTTAGTCCTCAGGGACTCTGAGAAAGTCCTGGGTTGCTGTGGATTCCCATATAGCCCCTGTCTTACCTTTAAACATTAGATGAGCACTTTGAGTCTGAATGTCTAAGAGACATTGGTATCCCATACAACAACACATACCTTCTAATATTTTATTCTTTCTTTCTTTTTATTGTTCTATATGCCTCCTAATATTTTCAAAGGAATCACCAACATAGTTTGAGCATAATGCTAAATAATGTATGTTAAAGGATGTTAAAAGGGTTGAATTCTTGTGTCTTTTGTAATAAGTCTTGGGATAGCACCAAAGGAGACTTGTATTCAAGATGAGCATAGCCTGTGACGGTAATTTAATGCCTGAGTGTTAATAGATCTAAATAAACATTTTTATGACACCATATTCCCTGTAAGTGATTTTTAATTTTATTTCATTTCATCTGGATTAATCATAACCTAGAGGAGTAACACAGACATATATATATAAAGCTAGCTAACTGATGTGTTGCTTGTACTGCATCCTCTAGGTGCAATACCATTACTTCTAAAGCTTGTAATGAAGCTATATGTTTGTATCTATACATTTTGTATGTACCTGAAGCCATAAATGTATTAAAGCAAGCTGATTAACAAAATGGGCAGTTTACACTTGTTGGGACAGGGCCACTGTGGAAGGAGCTGCAGAAATTATAGCAGTGACTGCTGCAAAAACACTAGCTAAAATAAGACCTAAAAACCTTCCTTTTCTCTGGAAAGAACTTGATGTAGTGTCAAGAGAATCTGTTGTTCACAGTCACTTGTTGTATCACCAAGTTTCCCATGGGCCTTATCCATGGGCCTTCTACAGGGAGGCTGTAGAAGTCAGAGAGGTTCTTATGAGCAGAGGAACTTTACACAATTAGAGGGGACACAACTGATGCAAGCCATTTGGAAGTATCCCCCACCCTCTTAAATAGAGGAAATCCCAGTCAGCAACATACATGAAGGTTTAACACAAGCAATAAGTATAAACACAAAATGAAATCCGTGTCATAACTGTTCAGTTTCTCCCCATGTCCCATCAATGCTCCCCCTGCCTGGGACTGTAGTCAGCAGCCAAAGTTTGGTTAAACCTTTCCCTCAGGATACACTATTGCAGGATGTAGGAAATGAGGGGTCCTACAAGGATGTCTTCATCCAGACACCGTGGGCATCCTCAGGACAAGTTGACCAGTAGACCAGTACCTCAGACTGCAGACTCAGAGGCACAAAGTTCTTTATAAGCCTGAAGCACAACACCCTAGGGGGAATTCCACTCTCAAACCAGGGCACCAGACTCACTGCATACTGGGAAATGTTCATCGGATGGGGTAACTTGTGGATTATTAGAGATTGGAAATCTCAAGTGATAAATGAATTGATAATGTCTGAAAAAGTATATATCTAATCATATATATATATATGATATATATAAAAACTATATATATCATAGACATAGCAGGTCACTCAGACTGGAAGGACACATCCCTACAGATGCACCAGTGATAAATAGGAATGGTGGATGATATTCCAGTACAGTTAAAGAGAGCCGTGCCAATCTCACATGGAAAACACCAAGAACAGTGGTTCTCAACCCTCTTAATGCTGTGACCCTTTAATACTCCTCATGTTGTGGTGATCACCAGCCATAAAATTATCCTGTTGACACTTCATGACTGTAATTTCGCTAATGCTATGAATCATAATGCAAATATCTGATATGCAAGATTTCTTATATGTGACCACAAAGGGGTCACGACACACAGGTTGAGAACTCGTGGAGAACAGTTATCTCAGTCTGATCCTTACAACTATCATGTAATATTTTAAAAGCTGAATAATTCAAAATAAACCTCAATTTGATATATCTTATAGTCATTTTTAAAAATTAATTAATTTTATGTTATAACCAGTTTCCTTCTCTCCTCTCTCTCCTCCTAGTCCCTCCTCCAACCCCCTTTTGCATTGGCTCCCTTGGATTCACTCCTCTTCCATTTTTATTCAGGAAAGGGCAGGAGTAACAAAACATTGATAATGGCAATATCAAGTTGCAGTAAGACTAAGCACCTCCCCATGTATTCATACTGGGCAAGGGGAGTAGGGTTCCAAAAGCCAACAAAAGGTTTGGTTACAGCTCCTGGTCTTACTGATCTAGAAGTTCTAGGAGTTCTAGACGAGGACCAAGCTATACAACTGTCCCATATATGCAGAGGGCCTATGTCAGTCCCACACAGGCTCCCTGGTTCTTGGTTCAGTCTCTGTGAACCTCAAGGAGCCCAGGTTAGCTAATTCTGTGGGTTTTCTTATGATGTCTTTGACCTCCCTGGCTGCTACACTCCTTCCTCCCCTCTTCAGCTTGATTCCTAGAGCTCTGCCTAATGTTTGCCTGAGGGTCTCTGCATCTGTTTCTATTGGTTGCTGCATGAAGCCTCTCTGACGACAATTGGGCTAGGCTCCAATCTATGAGTACAGCAGAGTATTGCTAGGCATCCTTACAGTGACACTCGTGTATGGTTCTATCCTAGGTCTCTGGGTCCTAGCCCTCTAGGCAGTGTCAGGGGTGGCCCCTCTCTTGGCATGAGTCTCAGGTTGGACCAGTCACTGGTTGGCCACTCCCACAGTCTTTATGTCACCCTTACTCCAGCACATCCCATAGTCAGAATGAACTGTAGATTGAACTTTCTGCAGCTGGGTTGGTGTTCAGATACCTCTACTGGAAGTCTTACCTGGTCATAGGAGGCAACCAGTTCAGGCTACATATCCACTATTGCTAGCAATCTTAGATGGGGTCATCCTCGTGGAATCCTGAAAGTTTCCCTTGTACCAGGTTTCTACCTGACCCTGAAATGACCCCCTTTCCAGTTGGTTTAGTACTCTCCCCCAGACCAACCCACACCTGATTCCCATGCCCCAAACCCACCTTGATTTGACATACATTACAGCCAGTTTTTTATAATTCTCAATCTTAGAACTTAGAAACTAATATCATATATATTATTTTTAGTCTTATTATTAAATATATTAAATACCTTACTCAGGTCTTTGTAACTTATAAAAGTCTTTTAGTTTCATTCTGTAGCCATATACCCATTTAATCTTTATACATAAATTTTTCCATTAAAATTTTTTATATAATTAGGATATTTTATTATTTAATACATATCTCCTTTTGCTACAAATATAAAAACCAACATTTTTATTTTTTACAACCATTATAGTAGTAAACATAGATATCCCTATTTATTTTTAAAGTAAAATTGGTTGGGAGGGCCTGTTCACCTCCTTTTACTGTTAAAGAGTAGTAAGAGTTAATAAATTTTGTTGTGATAATTTTAGGCTGTCCCGACTGGAGACAGGAGGATTGTAGTTCAGCTTAGAAGATAGGGCAGAAATCCTGCACTGGATCTTTAAAGAAGTATTTGATTATTGATACAGACCTAAAGAGAACTTAGAGATGAAAATATCCTCAAAATACTTTAAATGTTTGTATGCATGTATACATACACTGTCTCGCCCAGATAGTTCATGAATACCTTCGAGAGGATGTTTCCATGTTCCGATCCAGATGATGATTGGGATAGACATCATCATCTGGCAAAGTGGCTTTCAGTCATCTCTTGGGCTACCAGGTTCCCTCTGTATTGTTTGGCTGTTTGCTTTCTATGTATATGATGAAGAGATGGGGACATTTGTAGTTGGTCACAATCTGGACTTTGCCATAGGTACCCAGCCTGCTCTGGAGCCCATGTGTTTCATAGTGTACCTAAGAACACACGGGAAGCAGCACCGTACATCCACCAGGGGGCGCTGCCTCCCAACAGTGGGGTAAGTTAACAGGTCCTGGATGGTGGCTCCCTGGGTCATCCCATTCACCAGTAGGGCAAAATGGTGCTTATATGACTACCTTTCCAGCTGTACAATTTACCTACCATTCCTGCCACCCTCTCCCACACCCTGCAGGGATGCTCACCTGGTTTCTTGCTGTCTTGCTGCTCTAGGCGCTGACTAGTAATACCAACAAGGTACAAAGAGCAGAAGCCTCCAGAGCAGCAGCAGAGGAGGTGGTGCCGTCGGTTTGCCTGGCTTGATGGCCTGGAGGTCACCAAGAAAGTTGTAGTTATTGTACTCCACAGAGGTCTCCCCGACCCTGCATCCCACGCCCCAAGGTCGACGATTGCCCTATTTTCTCACTAAGGACAGTAGGGGCCTCAATGTTACTTCTGCAGTGCTTCAGATGGCAGGTAAAATGTGGTTCTTGTCCAGGAAGAACCCAAATAGACGTCCGGGGCTGGTAGGTCCCATCCCCGCTGGGCAAGATGGTCCTAGGCCCAAAGGTATGCTGCTGTACTGGCTTCCCATCCCGAAGCCAGGTCAGGGTGGCCACAGGAGGATACAGATTAAAAGCCCAACATGTCAGGGTGATCCTGCCCACTGGGTATCTCCTTCTGGTCACATTTACCTTCGGGGGACCTGAGAGAAGACAAAGTGAGTTAGTGAGGGTTATGACATACTCTCTATGTCAACATGGCGGGTCGCCCAGAAGAACTGTCCTGTTCATATTTGCCTTCAGTCTCTCCTCCCTAGAGGACACAGCTCCCAGTGCTTGTAGGACTGTGGGAGGCTGGGGCTCAACTCCAGTTTTGCTCTTGAGGGTCCATCCCTCATTTACACTCTGTTGATGGGAGGACATGGTATTCGTGCTGTCAGGGGCTAGTAGTTCCTCGTTACAACACAGGGCATAGATGAACAACAGTTACCAAGAGACCAGAGGCTCAGTGTTATGGGGGCTACAGATCCAACCTGAGTGAGATAAGTCTCTTTTCTATGACAAAGCCAGCTCGACAATCTCTAGGGGACAAGTGAGGGACTCTCTAAGTACAGTCAGGTGACTGTGGTTGTGAGTCTTTGGTCCTGGAGTTTGCCCAAGACTGATGACCAACGTCTTCCTTCCTTCACAGAAGTCCAGGGCACCTTTGCGTGTTTGACTTAGCCAAAGCTTTAAACTTCATGTTTCAGATTCCAAAGCGGGTCAGACAAGTTCATAATCATAGCACTAAGAAGGTGGAGGCGGGAGGTGGGTGAGTGGGGTCAAGGGGTATTATGAGGCTCTTTTTTTTTTTTTAAAAAAAAAGACAAAACCAAATAGAAATAGAAAACTTGACCTTTTCAATATTTTAGGTTCATTTATTTTATGTGCATACATGTTTGGCCTGCATAAATGTATGTGTACCATGTGCACACCTAGTGCCCTTGGAAATCAGCAGAGGGCATCGGATGCCATAGAACTGGAGTTACAAATGATTTTAAGTCACTATGTGACCTTTGCTAAAAGAAGCACTAAGCAACAGTGTAGCCTTGATCAGGTCACAGGATTTGGGTAGATTGCACTAGAATCTGCAGCCGAGCTCTGGGTTTGGGTCTTCTTCTAGCTTCCCATAGAGTGATTCTGAATCCAGCCATTCCCACCTAGTTCTCTACCCTCCTCCAGGTCAACCTCCACCAGAGAAGGAGACTATTGGAAAGAAGAGGCCTTTTTCTTCAGAATGTGAGGGCCTTGTGTGAGATCAGGTCAACATCTGGGAAACCAGCCTTTCCTATCTGAGGGACCCAGCAATGACTCTGGGGGAAACCCTACACTGCAAACTTCTAGGCACCACCTTAGACTGTGTCATGATTATACACACCAGTGAGAACCCAGACTCCCCTGGGAAGGAGCCTCTTGGCCACAGGAATGTTCCCCCGAGTCCTGGGAACCAACCCTGGTGATGGTCCATACCTGTGTCCATCTGAGAGTTCCTCAAGGAATTCAGGTGTCTCTGGAGCTGGGAAGGACATGTGCCCTTCAAGAAAGTCTTAACTTGATCAGTTCTGGGTGCATGTGTCTCCCAGAAGGTCTTGGTCTGCTGGGTGGATGGCACAGCCATTGTCCATGTGAGAATCTTCTGGTCAAAGGTGAGGGCATCCTGTCCATCATAGCCCAGGCGCCAGAAGCCTCCAATGTTCCCATTTCTCTGAAGTTCACAGCCTAAGGTTACCTGGATGGTGTGAAGGCCTGGTCCACATAAGATAAGGACCTGTTATCTTTTTGTCCCTGAACCTCAGTTCCCAGTGGGGTTCAGGGCAAATGTGGGGATGCTGTCATCCACCAAAGTGTGGGGCTCTTGTACCTCTTAGGGAAGGACCACTGGTGTGTTTAATGAGTTTAGCTACACCGTACCCACACCCTGACTTCAGGAACCAGGACTGAATCTGTATGCACTGCCCTCTGTCTACTTACCCCTGTCTTGGCCTGTGACCTCGGCCAGTATCCTCCTGAGTTGCTTATCCATCTTCCACAGGCCCTCAGTTTCTCTTGCCCAGGTCTCAGCTCCTGCATGTCCCTTGATCCTGGCCCTCAAAGCCTCTGCTCTCCTTCTGTCTCCCTTGTAGCGCAGGAAGAGATCACCATCAATGTATCCATGGGCCATGAACTGAGTCTCCCCAGACCTGACCAGATGCAAGCTTATGAAGTAGTGAAGTGTGTGGGGTCCTGGGGAGACAAGTTCATGGGTTCCCACCATAAGCTATGCCTTGAGAGATTGAAACCAGACTATTCCATGCCCCCGTGTCTCATAGGTGGATATTAAGAATATGAGCTGTGCTCCAAAACAAATAAACAAAAAAGCGATAAAAAATTTAAGAAGGTTAAAACAAAAAACAGAAAATCATTGAACTTAAAAAAAGAATTATGAAAAAATTGTCAAGGCCTCTAAAGTATTTAAGAAATAAACCTCAGGTCTGAAGAGATAGCTCACTGATTAAGAGCACTGACTGCTCTAGAAGAAAAATGGTATTTGGTTCCCAGTATCAAGAAGGTGGCTAACAACCCTCAATAATTCAAGTTCCAGGGAATTCAGCACCCTCTTGTGGCCTCTGGGAGCACTGCATGCATGTGTTGCACATGATGTGTAGACAATGCATCCATACAAAAATACTTTAGCAAAGTTGAAAGAAATGAACTTTTACATAAGGGTGATTGCACATGTACTTGAGTGGCTGAAGCAGGAGGACAACAATCTCTAGGATCATCATGGAGTGATGACCAAATAAAATCACAAAAGTAACCAATGAGATAACTAAACTGGGCTTCACTGGTTTCTGGGATTGATTGGTTTAATCTTCCAAATATCTGAACAATCTAGCAAAACATGGCTGGTGGGAGCCCCCTCCAAATGATTCAGCTGCTACCTTAACTTCCTCCTGCCACCCTGCCTACACCATCCTGAATTCTCCTGTACAAGCATCCCCACACTGCACCGTTCATTTGGTCCCCTCACTTGCCATAATTCTCCTTAATCTCCATCGTGGGAGACAGACATGGCCACTCTAATACTGTGAGGAGCCAGAAGGATCCAAGATATCCTCAGAGGCCCTAATGGAAGGACAAAAGTAACTTTGGTCCTGTGTCCTTGTCCAGCAGTAGACATGACAAGGCTGGTCTGAAACTGAATCCAGTGCCTTGGAAAAGAAGTAGAAGTTTCTGGGGTCCCAACTCTTCCCTTTGGGCTGTGGTTGTCAGTGCTAAGACAGCAGTGTCTGCTGTAGCCTGTGTTCTTTTTTCCAACACTGTCTGACTTACCTCTCTGCTGACCTTTGCTATTTTTACCCTGCGAATAGTGAACAAGACGTTGTACTTCATAATAAACTTGATGGGCATAAGGTATCAGCTATGGCTTTTGTCTTATTTAGCTCCCCTTTACTCTATTTCTCATTCCTGGTCCTCACACTCACCACCTCACCATTCATGACTCTTATTCCTGCATGGTTCTAGTGGAGCCTAGATGTGGGGCCCGAATATGGGAGAAATTATCAAGAGTGAGTAGAGTCACAATAAATATATCGACTAAAAGGAGTGAGATTAGTGAACCACATAAAAATTGCAAATAAATAAATTAATTAATTAAAGATTAAAAAATAGGAAGAGATGAGCAGACAGGAGTGAAACAGGGCAGCTGCATCCTAAAGAACAATTTTTTTCTTTTAGATGATTTATTTTGTGATGTCTACATTTCTCAGAGTTTCTATTGCTGTGATGAAATACTATGATCAGGAAGCAAGTTGGGGAAGAAAGGGTTTATTTGGTGTACACTTCCATATCATTGTTCATCACTGAAGGAAGTCAGGACAAGAACTGCAGCAGTGTTAATGCAGAGGCCATGGAGGGGTGCTGATCTCCATGGCTTGCTCAGTCTGCTTTCTTATAGAACCCTAGATCACTCACTGGCTCAGGGATGACCCCACCAAACAATGATCTGGGCTCTCTCCCATAAATCACTAGTTAAGAAAATGCCTTACAGATGTATCTTATAGAGGCATTTTCTCACCTGAGGTTCCCTCCTTTCAGATAATTCTAGCTTATGTCAAGTTAACATAAAGCTAGCCAGCACGTCAAAGACACTCCTTTTTATGCTAGGTTATGTCCATTATCCATTTGTTTCTTAATGCTGCCCCTGGAAAATATGTTTCCAGCAACCCTGACTTAGTGACCCCCCACAGAAATGTACAGCTATGACCATCTACTTGTTATGCTATGATTAACTGCTTTTGGATTTCTGTTTCCTTCTTATGCAGACATCCAAGGGCCGTTTTGTGGTTGCACTGACTGAAATGGATTATTAAAAATGCTGCAGGATCCCCAGCAGTGGCAGGCAGCAGAACAGCTGCAGGTCCCCAGGCAGTGGCAGCGGGCCATGCAGCAGCAGGCAGTAGGCCCTGAGAGCAGTCAGTCCCAGGCAGGTCCGCAAGCAGTGGCTGGTCCAGGGTAGTGAGACACGCAGTGGTGGGCAAGAGACAGAGACATAGATAGGCACACCATGCAGAGTGAGGTTCGATATTTATTCAGTGTGTTATGGAGGGGGAAGGGAGGAGAGGAGCAGAGAGAGACAGAGAGAGAGAGAGAGAGAGAGAGAGAGAGAGAGAGAGAGAGAGAGAGAGAGAGAGGTGGGGAAGGGGAGAAGTAGGGAGAGGCAGAAGCTGCCTCTTAGAGAAGGAGACAAAAAAGAGGAGGAACTCAGGCTGGAAGATGAAGATCAGCCTGTCTCAGCAGACTGAGGGGCAGTGGGCATGGCTTGTCTCTTAAAGAGATAGAATAGATCATTACACTGACTACCTAGTCTTGGCAGAGTAGAACAACCTTCCCTAGCTTTACTCAAGGTCTTCTTGCAGTTTTCACCTTTAAAAATCCTCCCCTCATCCCCTTCTCATGGCAACCTCACATTGGGCTCAGAGACTGCTGTCTTGACAGCAGTAATCAATAAAAATTTGAATTATAATTATATTGAATCTATGATCTTTCCTTGGTGGTCTCAAACTTCATAACCATTTGTTTTTGCATCTTTTTATTTATTTTTTATTGTTTTGCTAAAGCACTTAGAGGAATTCTTTAATTTCACTCTAAAAATCTGCCCTTGGCTCCCTAATGTAAGTTCTGTAAGTTTGAAAACATGGGCAGGTGTAGGTGAAAGTTTAAAGGCACAATATCACCTACAAGGGTGATGTGAGTTTCATGTTAATGTATTTGCACCGTGGAGTTAGACAGGAGATTTAGACCCACAGTAGAAAATTGATCAAATTGTAATTCAACACTACAATAATTACAGTTGATTTACTCCAAAACAGGCATGAGGTCAAAAGATTAAAATAAAAATTTAAAAAATAACATAACAGTCCTGAGAACCAGGAAGCCATGTCAATGACTGGATTGTTATTTTTGCTTTGTAGGACTCAACCATGATAAGCTTAATAGGGACAGACCACAAAAAGGAAGGTTTTAACTTCCAACCATTACCACCTGCCAGTGTAGGGCCCAGTCGTGATAGGCTTAATAGAGGCCTGAGTCTCAGCAGTTTACCCTGAGGCAATACCTGGTCGCAGGAAGGACCACAAACTGAGATTATCCAGGCATTATCCAAGAACAGACCACCCAAAGGAAATTTCTAATGTTCCAACCATTGTACTAGGATTACCTACCAGCGCACATTCACCAGGATACTCCTAGACAAATGTCAGCCAATCAAGGATCCTGAACCTTAGAAATCCCTCACTCCCACCTTTACTACTATAAAAACCCAACTCTAACTGAGATAGGGGCTCTCTGGTTATTCCATCCAATACGTTGGACACATGGAAAGACCGAGTTTGCAAATTTATATAAAATAAAGACTCTTTGCTTTTACATACAGGACTCGGTCTCCTTGTTGGTTTTTTTTGGGGGGGGACATCGCGGATTGGGGCATAACAGCTTCATGGTGCCTCAGAGAGTAAGGAGAAAGTTTCTTTTTTGATGATACGGTTTTAAAATGCGTTGAAATGGCTGCTATTCCTCTAGTGGAGCCAAGAGCCCCTCCTCTTTCATCAAACACAGGATCATTAAGTTACCTGTTAAAGCCTTATACTCTTTATTTGTGGAAGATGGAGGGTGCTGAGCCCCAGGATTAAAGCATTTTGAACAACAAAAAAAACCTGCTTGTTTTTTTTTTTCTGGGTTTCTCTCTACTACAGCAGGTGATTTTACTATGGAAAAAGAGGGGCGCAGTCGAAACACGGCGGCTGTGGCTTCACAGACACAGAGCTCCTTAGAGCAGAGTCCCGCCCAGCCGGGCAATATCGCACTAACTAAGACAAAATCAAAAATTTCCACACATCAAGTTTTATCACCTCAAATACCAATTAGGTATACTTAATTAGGCTAATTAGGCTAATGATCAGTCTACATGAAAACGGAGTGATTGGTATTTCCAGATCTTTCCATCTGATTAGGTTCAGGCTAAGACGCTGACTCCGAAGTGTGGAATTTGATCCCTCCCACTTCAGAGTCCATCATGTTCTCTCAGTCTGTGTTTAACCTTTCTGAGCCACACAGGCCCACTGGCTCTGTGACAGGAAAAGGGAGAACAAAACAGCCTAAGATTTTATGTACACAAGATTAAAATTAAGACTCAGCTGGTAGAGTTCCTTAGAGACTTGGGAGGTAACTCTTCTCTACCCCTATGATATGGTACAACCCAATCTTTTCTGTAACTGCTTCTCAGATGAAATTAGGACATCATTGTCAGGGACCAGGAAAGTTGGAATGCCAGCCAAAGGCTGGAAGTAGGGCAGGGGGCATTCTATTTCACTGCCCAGACTCTGCAGGACCACCTGGGGCTGGCAAAGTTCAGGCTGTTTTGGAGTAGCCTGTAATACTGGTCCAAAGCAGGGGCTCAAGCTGGTAAGCAGTGTTAGGAGACATGAGGAAATTACTTCAGAAGAATTCCACTGTCTGGTTTCCTGGGGCTTTCAACAAGTCCAGAGCTTGCTGGTTTTGCAGTACCACCTGAAGCCGGCATGTTGAAGGTTGTTTTGCAGCAGAAGGCCATTCACAGTTGCTCACTGGATGGTGTCTGTCAGCTGAGTGGACATCTGTGGGGACTGGTATAGACTAGAGACAGAAGGGTAAATTCAGCCACTTATGGAAAATCTTTACCTTGGGTGCACACCTGAAAC